TTTTTTTCTTCTTAAGCGGCCCGTGCAGATGCATATGTGTCACATACCAAGAAAGCACATGCTGTATGCAAACAAAGCACTTGCAGACTCTTATTTTTCTCTCTCTCTCTGCAGATGACCAGGGTTTGCATTGTTCTCAGATGCTCACCGTGTTTTCTACTCATAACGCTCTAGGTGAACAAGACGGACAGTAGATGCCTACTACTCCGCCCCACCACTTCCATCAATGAGTAACTGTGTGTGGGAGTCGTTTCCTCTGGGTATTGGGATTATTATAGATTCTGTTTAATCTCGTATTAAATCGCTCAACTATAGAAATATGCATCAAGATAATACTGCTGCTACCCATACCACTTGCATAAAACCAAATTTGGTGCTGGAAGAGGTTGAAGAAGGGAGTAACGGGTTTAAGGTTCAATTTGATCTTCTTCAAGCCAATGGACACTTTTGATTCATTTAGATGAAACCAAATCCTATTCAAAAATTAATAATGTTCTGCAATATTTCATCAAATAAAAAATGAAGATGAAAGTAAATACAATTTGAAAACTAATAATAATGGTTGACAATGCTTCCTATAATAAATAATAGTGATGAAAAAATGTTTATGAAAGTAAGTACTTGTGAAAAATTAATAATAATGTTTCTTCAAATAAAAATGTTTATGAAAATATAATTGATTTCTTGTATCATAATTCAATGAGCTTTTGTTCAAAAATAATAAAGAAGGGTTCAATCCATTTTTTTTTTTTCGTTAAACGTCATTTCCAAAATGAAATTTCTAAAATTGTATATAAGTATAGTAGTACTATGACTTTCTCGAGCCTTCTAGAACTTTATGAAACCTTGTAGAACTTGAACTTGTTTTTATTTATCTGTGAGTTTGTATGTTATTCTATAGCTATAAACTGTTAAATGTGTTAAAAAATCTATAATTATTATATAATTACATTTTGAAACATAGAGCTTCTGAATTTTTTTTTTTTTTTTTTACCCTTATTGCATATTTGGTAAAATCGAATTTTTTGTTTGGGGCTGACCTTTTTCCAAAAATAAAACAAATGCTTTTTTCATTACTTTTGAATAAAAGTTCATTGATTTATGACCCAAGAACATAGTTACAAAAAGTCATAACCTTATATGTATATATTCCATAAATTTAATTCATGTGTGAAATGAAATCAGGCAGTGAAATGTTACTGAGTGAAAAATGTTACAAACTTTTGTTTCAATGCCATACTTCCTCAAATTTCTAATTCCTCCAAATCTTACATTCAGTGATTTTGTCATGTTTCCAGGTGCCTTATTTTGGGCATGACTTTAATTTCTATGCTGCACTGTTTTCTTGCATCACATGTCATATCATATCTGTAGCTTTGATCACAAACCAGAGGGTGAAGACAGAAGAAAGAGAAAAAAAAAACTCAGCCAAAATCTGAGAAAACCAGGGAACATGAAAATAATGGTCAGAGCTGGAATGGTTGGCATATTTGGAATTGTGCCAAGAATAAGAGAAACAAGATTTGCAAAGCAGAATAATTCAGAGAAGAATAAATAGTCTGGACTGGGGTCTGGGAAGATACTGAGGAAGGTGCTGAAAATCTGAGGAGATTTGCTATCACTCAACCTCCAGTGATAACCAACAAATGTTTGGTATGAAGAGGAAGATGCAGGAAATGAAATAACAATAAAATACCTATTGTTGGTATGATGACTAATTCAGTACTATTACTGCAGTTGGTTTTTGCTTGTAAATTAATAATGGGTGGCATTGCTAACACTTGCATCTTTTTTGTAAATAAAATTATTAAGAAAAAATCTATAGCTTACTTCAAGCCTCCAAGTGTCACCAACATCACTATTAACATTCCTTCCTTTTGTCTTTGAAGTCATTTCCGTTCATGACTCTCCACAAATTCCATTTCTTCATTATCTGTGAATTTCTATGACTTTATTGCCTTTTACACAGTTTTGTCTTGTTGGGGCCACCCACCTTCTCATCAAAATGAACTGATCTCTCTACTACTAATAGGACAGTTCTATAGAGTTCTGGGAAGATCAGGTGACCATCACACTTCCGTCTCTCTACCGGAAGATACAGCTGGACTTTAGACTCTTTCTGATTGTTACTGACTAACCTGTGTTCGTTTGACTACTAATCTCTCTGTTGTAAATACCTCTTCAGATATACCAGTATTTTTCCCTACGTATGTGTTTGTCCTTATTTCAATACACACACAGGGAAACACTCAACATCTCAACAGTCTTCTAGACTGGCTTCCACCCAAGGCTCAAGATCCCAGTATATTGCTAAAATCTCTTACATATTTATAAGTCTAGCATTCATCTTTGCTTTGAATATTGCTGCCACATCTGGTCTGGAGCTCCAGTTATATATTTAGAGCTTCTTGATAAAAACCCAAAGAAGAATTTGCAGTATTACTGGTCCTGATCTATCATCTCCCCTTCAGTCACTTTCCCACAGCCATAATGTAGTTTTCCTGTGCCTTTTCTATAAATACTTTCAGGATAATTGTTCTGATAAACTTTCCTCTATGGTAACTTATAGGCACTAATTAGGACTACATAGAGACTCTGAGGTATTATGGTGACTGTAGTAAGAATGTTAAGTAAGAATGTGTTGATTTGATGTAAGGAATACTGTAGTATGTTTGGGTCAGTAATTGTGACTAAGTTTAATTATAAGGCAGAATAAGACCAGCCTTCCCCTACCCCCTGCTGTTTGGCCTTGTCACATTTTTGTATTTTACAAAATATTACTTTCCTCTATGGTACCTAGACTTTATGAATTTAAGTGCAGTATTAAATTTAGGAGACATGGTGGAGTAACAGATAATGGCTCAGATTGAAGAATCAGAGAGCTGAGTTCGAATTCCATTACATTCATTTATGTGCTAATACCCTTGGGGAAAAGGTATTAATCAAGCTATGGGTAAATAGCAGGACAGACCAGGTTCTATAGCCTTGGATAGCAACTGGTCTATGTGATCACCTAAGTGTGTATTACGTATGGCAAATAACTGATTAGATTGGTAGCACGGTCTCATCATTTTACAGTCAAAATGGCTAAATGTAACCATAAGTTCTATGCTCACGGTTTCTTCTGTCACTCTTCTCACCTGTTAAATTCTCTTCCGGCTTCTTGCTTTTGATCTTCAAAAATTTAAATGCAATTATCACTTGTTATTTACTGTCTATTTAATTCTTGATCTTCTATTGTTTTCTCTCCTTAATAGTATATTTGTCTTTTATTCTCTAATACTCAATAACCCCTTGTATCTTAGTGGTTTTAATGCCTTGCTTGGAGTGAAATAAATAAATAAAAAAAATAACCTGCTATTTAACTCATTGTTGTAGCCTAGCGAAGGTTACTGAATAGAATAATCGCATGAAGGTTGGCAATGAACAATAATACTTAGGACAAGAACAACACATATAAGATTCGCCAGTGGTGCATAGAAGTAGTCAACTGCTAGAAGTGAGTCAAATGAATTCCACAATGAATCTCCAACTGCATACAGTATTTACTACTGTATTTATGTAAATGTGGACATACCCATTATTGTCCATACGTATGCTACAACAGATAGATACTGTTGGAACCTAGGGAAGGTTACTGAATAGAATAATCACACGAATGTTGATAATGAACGATAATACTTAGGACAAGAACAACACATATAAGATTCACCAGTGGCATGTGGAAGAAGTAGTCAACTGCTAGAAGTGAATCAATTGAATTCCACAATGAATCTCCAACTGCAGACCAACATACAGTATTTACTACTGTATTTACGTGAATGGGGGCATACCCATTATTGTCCGTATGTTTGCTACAACACTCATAGAAGGAATACCTATTTCATGTTCAACCCCAATGACAATTACACAATTACACTTCCCTTAGATCCACTGTCATCATTATTCCTCCACATTTGGTAAGAATTATTTTGGTAGAATAAAAGAATCATTAGATGTTTTTATAGATCTTGAGATTGTCAGAAAAAATATATAAAAATTGGAGATGGTTTTATATTTGATGCCTTGTCTGCAGGGTTACATCAATGAGAAATTTCTGTTTTCTCAAATGTCTGTTTTCAGTTGAAGGAATTTTTTGAAGTAGTTTTTAAGTTTTTTTTTTTTTTTTTATAACTTAATCTGAAGAATATGTTTAATCTATATTTTTTATTTTAAATCTTAAATCTTTTTTTTATTACTTAAAGTCTTTCAATGGCGGTTTTTATTTGTTTATTTAAAATTATGTTTGCTTTTTGTTAAAGACTGCATCTGTGAATGTTCATTTTTTTTAAAAAAAAAAAAAATTAAAAAAAATTTCCACCTTTTTATTTTTCTCAAGCAAGAAAATCTTGGTTTTATCAAGGAGTTAATCAACACATAAGAATATTCTTTCTTTTCCATTCCTTTGAAATTCTTTGAATTGCTCATAATTCTACCATGAACAAGTTTATTCTGAAAAAAGAACAATAAAATTTATCTTGAAATTAATTGTTGTTTTTATAACATTAATTCAAAAATATGTTTTATTTTTTTTTTTTTTTTGTGTTCTCTATTAAATGAAATTTTTTTTCTGTCATTTTATCATTTAAAGAATTCCAGTCTTAATTCTGTGTTTGTCTTGTCTGGTTTTTGGCATGTCAAGAGTTCTCCTGACGACTGAGTAAAAGCTGGTGTTATATAGCACTCTCTCAGTCCCCGATCCACACTGATTATTGGCTAATACCTACCCAGTATCATTCGTATACAAATTTTGTGAGTGTTATAAGTAGAATGACCTCTCTCAACAGCCAATAGTGGAAGATGATGAAACGCCTGATGCTTACTGCACTGCATGCAACCAACTCTGGGTCTCTTGTCAGGTTGATCTAATTCTTTGTTACAAATTCTTTCTACTTCCATTTTTCCATATTTTATTTTTTTTATTTTTTTTAAATATTCCCCTTTCTTGAAATATTTTCTCCATGTCTTTCTCTGCCTGTCTCAGCCGCTTGTATCTCTCTCTGCCCGTTTCAGTCTCAGTGAGTCCCTCTTCCAGGCTCGGTCTCTCAGTGAGTCCCTCTTCCAGGCTCAGTGAGTCCCTCTTCGGTCGGTCTCTCAGTCCCTCTTCCAGGCTCGGTCTCTCAGTGAGTCCCTCTTCCAGGCTCGGTCTCTCAGTGAGTCCCTCTTCCAGGCTCAGTCTCTCAGTTAGTCCCTCTTCCAGGCTCAGTCTCTCAGTTAGTCCCTCTTCCAGGCTCAGTCTCTCAGTGAGTCCCTCTTCCAGGCTCAGTCTCTCAGTTAGTCCCTCTTCCAGGCTCAGTCTCTCCGGAGTCCCTCTTCCAGGCTCAGTCTCTCCGTGAGTCCCTCTTCCAGGCTCAGTCTCTCAGTTAGTCCCCCTTCCAGGCTCGGTCTCTCAGTGAGTCCCCCTTCCGGGCTCAGTCTCTCAGTGAGTCCCTCTTCCGGGCTCGGTCTCTCAGTGCGTCCCCCTTCCGGGCTCGGCCTCTCAGTGCGTCCCCCTTCCGGGCTCGGCCTCTCAGGGAGTCCCCCTTCCTGCCTCGGTCTCTCAGTGAGTCCCTCTTCCTACCTCAGTCTCTCCATATACTTAACTACCAAACTACCTACCAGCAATATCCCATTTAATGAATTCACTATTTATTAATGATATATAACAATGTTTTCTGACAAAAGACTATTTCCGTTTGTTGTTTTTTTTCTTTTTCACAATTATTGTCCTTAACAAATAAAACCTTTCAAATTATGAAATGGCCAAAAGCTTCCATTGTCCACCCACAACTTAATCATTCAATCAATTTGTTTCTCATATTGTTGAAGAGGAATCTGTTAGTCTTGGGATTCCTGAAGTATGACACATACAAGCCAAACTCAAAAGCATGGAATGTTTGTAAGGAACTTTTTAACTTTTATGGTGCTTTCCATTTTTTGACAAAGATCTCATTAGTTTCTCTGTTAACAAGCAATAAGAGGTTGCTTATCGGTTAATGATGTTGGTTTGTTTTTTCACCTGAGTTGTCTTATTAAATCCAGAGTTCATGAAATCCTCTTGACTAGATTTTACAAGAATATAATTGTAGCCAGGTATTGCATGCTTTTAAAAAGTAATAACAGCAGAGTAGAAAATTTTATTTTTCCTTTTTGTCACATGATACATCTTTCATATATTTTTCATCTGACCCATGATATTACAGGTAGGATTTAGGAAATGAATGTTAAATAAATATGCTAAATGATAGATTGATTAATTTTTTTATGGCTTATCAACCCATTGTAGGTTATAAGAATTATAAGAAGTTTTGGGAGCTAATGATTTACTGATGCCAATCCTACTAATTAACCCATAAGTGTGGGGAGAAAAGGTGGATTCATACCTTTCCCAAGGACATTTGTATGTGCATGAGTGAATATAATGAATCCAACTGGGATTGGATCTCTGCTCTCTGATTTCCAATTCCAAACCATTATTCATTACACCACCTTCACAGCATCTGGTATTCCCAAGCGGTCACCCACCTAGGTACTGACCAGGCTTAACATTGCTTAATCGGTGGTCATATGAGAATTGGTGTTATAATGTGATATGACCATAAGCCAAAAATCTGTTAGATGCGACCTTTATCTGGTGTCCTTGGAAATTGTCCCCTTTCAGGGAGCCTGGGTTTTAACATTTTGCACTCGGCATCATGCTAATATCTTTGGAAAAGGGTATTAGCACGATGGTTCTATAGCTCTGGATGGCAACTGGTCTACCGAAAAAAAAGAAATGGCAACCTACTGCAGGAAAAAATCTGTCACATCAGTCAGGTATCGAAAGATACATGATTGCCTAAGCATGTATCATGCATGGCATATAACTGACTGACTCGGCATCATTTATAAATATTACTTCCCTTTTTACTGTATATGGAATCACTTCAAAATATTGTTTTATATATTAGTTCTATATATTTGAAATTGCAGTAGCCTGACTCTCAATTTCAGTCAAGATTGTTTTAGGTGTTGCCATAGAAGGATATGACTACACAATCAAGAAATTCAAATTCAACTTGCATTTGCAAGACTAACATTTTGCTTTGCAAAAATAGTCACCTCCAGATTGCTAAAGGTTAAATCATCTTGTTCGAACAGAGATGTCGAAAAACAAAGTTAAATATTTTATAAAGCAACAAAATAATGTATAATAAAGGATCCTTATTTGAGCATAACATTATCATATGAAAACATCCGCAAATGATCCATATGGAAGCATATTTCGAGACAAATTTCTTTCTGTATTTCCTTAATACAATGGATGGACACCTTTTCCAGATAAACAACCCATTCTCTATCCTTGGTACTAAACTGTTGCTTTATTAGAGTGTGGGGCTACTCTTTGCTTTCCTTTTCTTATATACACTTCTAAGCATCAACCTCAAAAATATTTCACTTGTTATCCCATCTCACTTAAAACCACTTTTTCAAGCTCCAGTTCTGATGATGAATTGGACATGTGCTACTTTATTCTTTAAGCTAACATATGGCCTTTTGTAAACTATTCATCTCATGAGCCAAAATTACTTTTAGTGATATTTTTTAGTTTCATTTATTTTTTTAAAATGTGAGCCACACCTATTTTAAATGTGAGTCACACCTATTTTCAAGCCATATCATTGGGTGATATCATTTTCTTTTATATCAACAAATGTATTGGTAGTGTGACAGTTATTAGAGAAGAAAGAAAAATTCAAATTCTGACCTTTGCGTTTATATTTGTGCTAATACCCTGGAGAAAGGCATGAATCTATATTTTAACCCCCAGCTATGGGTTAAATAACAAGGTAGACTGGGCTTTTTAACCTTGTGTTGTAGCCAGTCTAGGAAAAAGCAAAATCTGTATTCAAAACAGTGGCCAGAGCAGTAGGAGACCACTTAAATATACTTCTCAAGGAAAAGTTGCTGTGGAGAGCCATGATTGCCTACATCCTAAAGCAATATGGCAATTAAAAAAAATAAATAAAAAAAAAAGTTGAGATTGATTTCTTAGTATTGAAAAAGAATAAAAAAATGTTATTTCTTAGAATTATTTTTATCATGAAATTCCCAAACTGTGACATACTGACTTCAAAATGTCTAAAAGCTCGAGCCTTTTTTAGAAAAAGATAGCAGCAGCAGTTATATTCTGAAAGCACATGTGATGAGTTTTCCCAGTTGTCCGCATCTAGGCCTATGCTAATAACAGCCACCAGTTGCTCTGATGATATTTATAATTTTCATTGTTTGTAAACAACACTTATTCAGCATCCAGAAGTGGGAGGATGACATGTCGTATTGTCTTCTCTCTAGTTTCTCATGAAAAAAAAAAAAGAGTTTTCTCTTCTTTCCCATAAGAACTATCTTAAATTTATGTCACTATATAAGATCTATCCAGAAATGATCCAAATATATTAACAAAAAAAAAAAAAAAATAGGTTACCTATGACAATGGTGACTGAGTCGACTTCAAAGTACACTTCTTTGCACCTCACACAAACATCCCAACATCACTTCTATTTTCCAAAAGAATCAGAAAAGGCCTCTTGTGGGATTACCATCAGCTGCCCTATCAGGTTTTAATTTTTATTAAAAGCCAGAAGTCACAGAGAGCTAATTTTGTATTATCATGCAGCTGATAGGGTTGGGGAACCTTCACAAGTCATCATTGCGGATATGATAGTTTCATAATTCACATACTGCTGAATGTGTAACCCCATAAATTTCTGGTTATACATGCATACTAAGGTCATATCTGAATAGTTGCCAATCTAAATCAAGATCATACAACCAGTTCTTGAGATGTTTGAAATGGCTGGATGCTTTATATATAAATTGTATATTCATCTCAAATAACTTAATATAGGTACCTCCACTAATTCAGTATACATCAGGTTTAAAATGAAAAAAGACTTCTTGAAGCTTTCATTGTTGCTTTTAATTGAAAGCTAAAAGATTTAAAATTTACTATTTCCAGTAAGCAAAATACTCTATGATGTATTTCAAACAGAAATTATATTGATCAAAATCGATTTTTTTTTTTCAGTAAAATCGATGAAAACGGCCATTTTGACACATTTGTAAAAAATAGTTAATTCACAGTTTTAAAAATCTTTGAAAAATAAAATATATATTTCTGAAATGTTATTTGAGGAAAATTGACAAATTTAAAGTTAAATTAATCTGATTTAAAACAAATATTACTTACTTATAGCATAAAATGTTGTATACAAGCATTTCTTAATCACTGGGTCTTGTTTTTCTGTGTTAATTGATTTGACAGCTGAATGACCGCTGAACATCTTCACAGTTAAGTATGGTGCAGCAGATGATAAAGTTTATATGAGTGTTCTTTTCCATAAGGGTGGACAACCCTTAAGACATATGACCTTTTAATAATAATAATAATGTTATAGGTTTGAACATCCATACTTAGAAATTCTGCACATATATACACATACAAAAACAAATTGAAATTCTTTTAAAAATATTCAGAGGTCATTAGATTGTAATAAGTTTTACAATATATGATTAGTAAATATAGTTTTACCTAATAAAAATATTTTTTAAGAGTTATCACATTAAAAGTGAATTTTAAGATTTAAAATTTTTATAAATTATTCAATTTAAATATTAAAAAAATGAAAACAAATCTTGTTAAAATTCATTTTTTATGGAAAATGTTTTTTTCTCTTCAAACAATAATGTCTTTAATTAATGTACATTATTCATGAAAGCAATTAAAAGCTTCTTTAATTAAATAAATGTGTTAGTTTTATTGCTGTATTTTATTTTTCAATTCAGAACATTTTCTGTAAGATGGGGTCTGATTTTGCCAAAAAAAAATTTGCTAATTTAAATTCATCAGAAAATTCTGCTTTTAACTAATATAGTCACTAAAAATTATTGCGTTGAATTTCTCAAGTTTTCATAAAATTAAGTAAGGTGATGAAACACGTAAAAAAAAATTTTTTTTTACAAGATTTTCTAATAAAAATTTTTTTTTAAAAACTCAATTGTGAGTAAGTCCTGAAAATTTCATTAAAATCTGAGAATTATATAATTTTTGCAAGAATATCCAAATTAATGTGTCTGTTATCACATAAAAGAGGCTAAAATTTGCTTTGCTAAAAGTTTGTACAATCACTGACACAAGAAAAACAGTTTTTTTAATCAAAATTTTTAATGTTCTAAAAAGGGACAAAAAATTTAATTACCATATTTGACGACATATAAGGCACCCTTTTTTTCTTTTTTTTTTCTTTTTTTAACTAAAAATATCTTTTAAAATTCCCCTGCATCTTATATGCCATATGTAGGTTTACTAATTTTACTTATTACTAATTTTTTTTCTTGATTTACCCTGTTGAATTTGAGATGTGTCTTATACACCTGTGCATCTTATATGACCTCAAATACAGTAAATATCCAAAAAATACTTTGGACCTTCTTAATAATAATATAAAGATTTTGACGATAAAACTATGTTTACATTATCTTTGGAGCATGTTTTCATCCTGTTATCTTGATTTTTAGCAATTTCATGGAGATATCTAAATAAAACCACCAATCAGGAAGTCTGTACTTGGATACAGTGAAAACTAGACAAGCAATAACTGAGCCATATGAAAAATA